ATCCGCTTAATGAAATCTCGTCAAGCTTTGCTCCGTTGACAATTTGAGTTTTAACACTGTTGCGCAAAGGAATGAGTGATTCAATAGTCGATCTAATTTCAAATTGCTACAGTCAGAACTCATTTCAAATTTCACTAAATTATACTCACACTCGATGAATTTTTGTTATATGTCAGTCTTAATTTCATCGTTTTGTTACAATGTTGATGACCATCCCTGTTGCCGACCATTCTATTTCGACTCTTTTTATAATATTTAGTGTATGAATTATGTTATCTGCAGAGCACAATTTTAATCACCTTGTAAGATTTGAGAATTTCAACAGAATTCTTGTCGAGGAATTCGTTTCGTTTCTTTTCATCTCAGTTTTAAGCAAATGAACATTAATTTATTGAAGTTATACACAGAAAAAGTTGAGATATTGTTGCAGAAAATTTAATTGTTGATGTTTTATCTGAATTGTATTTGTCTTCTAATATTGTCGATTTGTCTTCAGATTTTGAACTGCTCTCATCTGTATGATTTATTGAATAATTGTTCCATAACTAATTATGTATTCTAATTAACGCATCGGTTGGAAAAAGAATGTGTTGGACATGCGACATTTCTATATTTAAAAACTTACTGGATTTCGGGAATATTCCAGGATTGAAAAACCGTCGAACACAAAACAAAAACACACAACAGACACAAAACAGAGTACCTGATTGTAGAACTCATCCCTAGCTGGTCCGTCGTGTTACTGTTTGGCGGTGTATGGTCACCCGGAAGTTTAGTGATGGAATGCTTTTTTTCGTATATTTTCATTCTTATATTCTTACATATTTTCCCTCTCATATCCCGCTTCCCCTTTGTGCTTCGCAAAAATGCTTTACATATTCGTGATCCGCTCGAGAAGATCTACAACATGACATGTATTTCATCTCGAAACGTGGGGATAAGTTCGTGACCTTCCCTTGCTGGCTATACGATCACATGTACAAGCATTAGTATGCTTTGAAATTCCATTGAAAAGGACAGAGCTGACCGGGCCTGACAGGCTCGCTTCGTCTGCGATAATATTCAAAAGTTTCAGTCATGCGAGTGATAAACTCGTTTATTCCGTTCTATAGATACATTGGTAATCCAGAGTTGAAAAAGAATGAAAACGTTGAACAATTTGTTCAGAGTCCAGCAGATCACATTAACAAATGAGTCGTTAACACATGCATAAATACGATCACAAATCTGGTCATGTCGAAGTGAAGAACCTAATTGAAGTGTTTAATATGCACAAGTTGTATTCAAACTGAGGTGTCGTAAATCCGATGGTATTGTCCCGAAATCGAATACCCAATAAGCCAAAGTGTTCATATTTGCTATTGTTATCACGTACACTAACACATTCAATATGATACCAGCAAGTGCCTGCAGTTGAATTACTCTTCAGAAAATTCTCACAGTTCATAGTCTGTTCAAACACGCACTTCCCAGATCTTTGCA